AGCGCACGCACCCTATAGCGAAAAACCTCTCCAAAAAAAAAAAGAAGCCACCAATTTGCTATCTTAGGGAAGTCACACACTGTGTGTGCAGCTTCCTTTGAACTGAAGGGTCTCTAATTCTGGCTTTGGTGAGGTCCAAACAAGAAATATATATGAATGTTGTGTGTATGTATGTTTACATGTATGTACTTATATCAGAGGATGTGTGTGCCAGAGAGGGCCTGGTGATGTCACAACCACTCTTCCGTCCTCCATTCCTCCTTCTCTTCAGGATTCTGGGCATGTGTGCACACATGCCTGGCCTCTTTTTCAAGCAACTGGGGCTAGGATTTGAACCACAGTTGCCCATGTGGGCTCTGGCTCCCTACGCACAGCACCCAACCACTGTGCTACAGAGCTGGCCCAGAATCTCAGCTTTTTTAAAAGGGTGGGGTTTAGGGGCCAGCAGGTGGCACAGTGGCTAAGACACTGGACTCCCACATGGCCAACTGCTCTCACATGGCCAACTGCGGTTCAAGCCCAGGACCCAGTGGCTTGAAAATCACACCAGGCATGTATGTATGCATGCCTAAACTTCCAAAAGGAAAATGGAGGAGAAAGGATTACAGTGTGGCCATCCCCCCCGAGGTAATTTCTCACTTTCCCTCTTGCTGTCTCTCTGCAGTTCGAGTCCCAGACCCGGTGGCTTAAACTCATGCCGGGTGTGTGTGTGTGCATGTTCAAGATCTCGAGAAGAGAATGGAGGAGAAGGGATTGGGGCATGGCCATCCCCCTTGGGGGGTGATTTCTCATTTTCTGTCTCTCTGTCTCTCTCTTGTCTTTCTGGCGAGTGCACGGGCCCTGTAGCAAAAACCCTTCCAAAAAAAAAAAAATGATATGAACCTCTCCAAAAAAAAAAAAAAAAAATGATATGCTCTGATTTATAAAACTTGAGAAACAACCTGAAAGCCCCAAATAGTTAGAAATACATATACATTCATAAGCTCAAATACTATGCAGTCATTAAAAATGGTTGGGGAGAACCAGCAGTTAGCGTAATGGCTATGTCGCTGGACTCCCACGTAGTCGACCACGGTTCGCGTCCCGGACCCGGTGGCTTAAAACCCACGCCAGGCGCGTGTGCGTGCGTGCCCAAGATCCCAAGAGGAGAATGGAGGAGAAGGGATTGTGGCATGGCCATCCCCTCTGGGGGGTGATTTCTCGCTTTCTGTCTCTGTGTCTCTCTCTGTCTGTCTGGCGAGCGCACGCGCCCTACAGTGAAAAACCTCTCAAAAAAAAAAAAAAAAAAAGGTTGGGAAAACAGCACAGATGACTCTCACAAGCACAATATTGTACAAGAGGAGCCAGACTCAAAGAGTACATTCTCTGTGATTCCGCTCAGAAAGGGTAAAAGCAGAGGTCAGGAGGGTGGTTGCCCTGGAGGGGCTAGAGCCTGGAGGGAGCACGAAGGGGCGTCTGGGACATGGAGCCAGGCTATAGGGCCCGTTCCATTTGTGCACAGTCATCAACCAAGTGTCAGTTGTTCTGAAGGAGAGGGGCCGGAGAAGAGGTGGCGGGCGATGGTCTTCTGTTTTGTGTCTGTACTCTTCCGTCTTTTAGCTGTGAACGTGTATTTTACAATCAAAGGAAAAGACAGTTCTTACGAATGCTAGTACTCAGGCGTGAGCGGCCTCGGCGTGAGCGGACGATTGCCCGGAAAACCATGACGGGCTCTGAAAGGGCCAAAACTAGTCCCGGGTGTCCTGAGAACGGAGTCTGGGGCGTCATCTAGCGGCCCTGTGTGCAGTTACCTGACTCTATCGGGGTCTCATCTTCCCTCGGCTTTGAGCTATCCTACTGCTCCGAACGCTACAGAAAATTGGTCATAATGCAAACGGTTCCTCCTCATAGAGAAGCAAACGAATTTTGTCCAGTGGAGACCTCACTGGTTATGCTGACAAGTTTTACATCTATTAGCAAAGGAATTTAGTGTTTCTAATTGTTTTTAAGCTGCTGTTGTCTTTTAACATTTTACTGGTTCCTTCATGAATTTATGAGTTAAATACAAGTCTTTGATGTGTTCATTTTATATTTGTATGTGAATCATGATGCTCTCTCTTTTTTTTTTTTTTCCAATGATCCTTTGACAGGACCCTGGTGGCAGAAGTGATTGTTGAGTCCTCACTGTTCTGGGGACTCCTGGTACTTGGGGGACTCTTCCCCTTTCCTTCAACAGCCCCAGAGCTGCCAAGCCCTCAGGCTCCACCTGTCCCACCCTCCCTCCCCCCCCACTCTGCTTCTTAGTGTAAGACTTAGGCTCAGGAGCAGGGGGATCAGGAGTCAAAGCCACTGTGGATATTGACCCATGGAAACACGTTGTTGGATTGGCCTGGGAACTCGGTGACATGCAGCCATGGCGATGGGAAAATGCAACGGAAAGATCAAAAGAGCTCAGGGTTTCTTATAAGAGGTCTCCCTGCGAGATTTCCTGGAGGCAGCGAGGCTTCTCCCGGCGCCCACCCCGCGGACGGGCAGCCTCCCCGGGCGCTCACCCACAGTGTCCGGCTTGGTGCACTGGATGTGCATGTAGCCGCTCTCCCTCATGATGCTGTAGAACACCTTCTCCTTGACGGGGTACAACAGCTCCTGGTCCCTCTCGGTGTAGCCAAAAAGCCCCGCAAAACGCCGTCCCAGGAGAAGGGTCAGGACGGAGAAATTTCTTAAAACCAAAGCCATGTTCAAGTGTAGGCCTTTCACGTGGCTGAGGGCAGAAAAGAGGCCCCAGTGAGGCTGGGCAGGTGTCAAAGCAGGGGGGAGAGCAGAGACAGAGAAGGGATGGGCCACAGGGCTGGGCAGCAAGCACAACGCCAGCTCCTCTGGCACCTGTCCCTCTGGCGTGGCCACATGGGTTGGAGGAGGGAGGAAAGGGGGAAGATAGAGTTTCTAGAAAGCCCCAATCAAGGCTCTTACAGAGCGCGATCTATCAGCCCTGACCGTGACCCTCTCGCTGGCCTTCTCTGCCTGGGCACCTGGCCAGAGCCACATTCCTACATTGCACTAAACAGGAGGACCTGAGCCACTGCACCCCAGGCATGGCTGAACGGCAGGAGACCCTCCCTCCTCTCCCCTGGCTGGCCTGTGGTATGAGAGAGCCCAGGGTTCAGACACTGTGCCCAGACAGGACCTGGCACCAACTGTCCGCCACCCTGCAATGCTGCCCGCCAGCCACAGAAGCCCACCCCTTAGGGGCTCTCGCCCACAGCTGAGAGTGCTTACCTGGGCACCAGCTGGGCTATGTTGGTGCAGATCAGGGAGCCCCAGTCCCCACCCTGAATGTAGAATTGCTGGAAGCCCAGTCGCAGCATCAGTTTATAAAAGATCCTGGCAGTGGCCACTGAATTGAACCCTGGTTTGAGGGAGAAAGAGAACAGTTGTAGGGAGGTCGCTTCTTGGGTCCTCCAGGAGCCTATGAAATTCCCTACTCCCCTTCCTACAGGTGGAGGCGAGCGAAGGTCACATGAGGTGAGAAGGAATCCCAAGGCCCAAAGGTGGAGGTGGGCAGCGCCGGCAGGCAGTGTGCATGGTGCCTGCCTCAGAGGAAGGGGCAGTGAGTGGACAGCTCTGCTGTGCTGGCAGGGAGGGCACACAGCGGGCTCGGTCCAGCCCTAGAAGGGTGTCTGCAGGTCCACGCTGCATGGGTACTCAGCCAGCCTCACTAGCCTGGAAAAGTCTAGGGCCCAGATGGGGACCCGCTTGAGCAGGGAGCTCATGAAAACACCAGTGTCCAGGCCCTGACCACCACCCGGCCCCTCTCCCACTGCCTCCTCAAACCCTAAAAAGATGCCTCTCAAGCCTCGTCTTCCCCAGCCTCCTCAGGCCGACTCCCTGCCTCCTCACTCCCGACTCGTCCTCCTGGAGCATCTGGTGGGAACCCCTGGCCCAGCCCAGGCCAGAACAGGGAGGTTCTGTGGCCTCCGGCAACCCCGTACCCTTCTTGGAGGATGCCTCTGAGAAGCCATAGCCAGGGATGGAAGGGCAGATGACTTCAAAAACGTGCTCGTCGCTCAGGCCGTGGTTCTTGGGGTCGGTCAGGAGTGGGATGATCTTATAGAACTCGTAGAAAGAGCCGGGCCAGCCGTGCACCATCAGCAGGGGCTTAGGGGTGCGGCCTGGGGGCAGCTTGGGTGGCTTCACGTGGATGAAGTGGATGTCCAGCCCTGGGGAGACAGAACACAGCCAGGTTAGGGGGAGAAGGAGAGGGCCTGGCAGCTGGGGAAGTTGCAGTGCAGAGACGGCCATGACGGTTTGCTGTCAGACCTGCCACCCCCATGCCCCGCCATGGTATCGGCCCCAGGGTGGACAGCGCCTCCCGGCCGAGCGGCCGCCCCTGCTCCAGCTCCATGGCTGTCCTCGCTCAGCTTTCACTCTCCCACAAGCGAGGTGCTGTTACCCCCTCCTCACGGTCACAGCCAAATGTGCTCTCGTGAGGGCTGGGCTAGGGCTGTGTGCACACTGCGGGGTCCCAGAGCCCAGAACCATTTCCGGCTCACAGAGGGGCTCGTAAATATTTGGCCAATAATTTTAAAATGGGGTGTGTTGGGGGAGCCCAATATACCAGCAATAGAAGCTTAATCAGATAGATTACTTAAAGAGTATATTGGAATATAATACACCCATTTAAAAGGATGGTGTAGATGTGTACTTATTTATTTTAAATTCTTTCAGAGAAATTTTTGCCATAGGGTACATACACTCACTGGAGAGACAGAAACAGAGAGACAGAAAGCAAGAAATCACCCCCCGGGGGGATGGCCACATCACAATCCCTTCTCCTCCATTCTCCTCTCGGGATCTTGGGTATGCACGCACATGCACCTGGCATTGAGTTTTAAGCCACAGGGTCCAGGATTCGAACCATGGTCAACTACATGGGAGTCCAGCGATGTAACCATTATGCCATCTGCTGGTCCCAGATGTGTATCTATTTAGCACCAACAGTAGTTCAAGAGTGAGAACCAAAGTCTGACTGTCTTTTCCTATTTCAAAAATCTTTCCAAAGGTCCTGGGGGAAGTCACACCTTATCAGAGGCCTGCAAAGATTAACGGGGCTGATTTGGCCCACTGCTAGTGGGATGTCACATCCCCTCCCTGCATGGTTTTTATTTATTTATTTATTTATTATTTATTTATTTATTTTTAAGCTTTTGTTATGGGGCACATGCACAGAGAGAGAGAGGGAAAGTGAGAAATCACTTCCCAGGGGAGACGACCCTGCCACAATTCCTTCTCCATTCTCTTGGGATTTGGGGCACACATGCACATGTGCCCTGTGTGATTTTCAAGCCACAGGTCCGGTTCTGGAACAGCATAGACTGCAGCCTTAACCTCCACACCACCTGCTGGCAGCCTTCTTAGCTCTTAGAATGAAGTATGGATGTTCTTTTGCTGATTTCCTTCTTTCTTTCTTTCTTTCTTTCTTTCTTTCTTTCTTTCTTTCTTTCTTTCTTTCTTTCTTTCTTTTTTGGCTCAACCATTTAATATAAAAATGTCACTGATGTACAAAAATGTGAAAGTGTGTGGGACCAGCAGTTAGTAATAATGGCTATGTTGCTTGGATCCCATGTAGTCGACCGCGGTTCGCATCCTGGACCCGGTGGCTAAAACTCACACTGGGTGCGTGTGCGTGCATGGCAAGAGGAGAATGGAGGAGAAGGGACTGCGGCATGGCCAACCCCCTGGGGGGCAATTTCTCGCTTTCTGTCTCTCTGTCTCTCTGTCTGTCTGGTGAGCGTATGTGCCCTATAGCAAAAACCTCTCCAAAAAAAAAAAAAAAGAAAAAAATGTGAAAGTGTGACAATGACAACATATGAAATTCTGTGATCGAAAGTCCCCTCGAGTGCACTATGGTGCGCATGCACCCGCCCACACATACTCTGGCGTGGAAACATAAACCAATGCAAACCGGTGCTGCCGAGAAGTGCCAGCACGCGCGTTCTCCATTCCGCCAATCACAGACCAGTATCGACTCCAAACAGTCAGTAACAGAAAGCACAGCATCTGCCCAGGAAGAGCAAGGCAGACTTCTTACTCACCATGGGCCAGCACAAGTAAACCCAGCCAAAAAAAGTACCGTGGACTTAAATTTAGGAGAGTCATCCATGAGGATGTCACAATTCCAATATAGGGAACGGATCCGCTGGCTCTGCCCACGACCCCTTTTCTCTAGCCCGTGTCGTCCTTGTTCATACAGGCCTCGGTCATCCTCTGCGTTACTGTCGCCTCTGGTTAGAAACTTGATATGCCCATTTTGCTTTTCATGAATCTCCAGGACTCGGTGAACTATAGCAATCTCTCTTCCTTCTATCCTAAAGACAACAATTTCTCCCACTTGTATAGGATCTTCAACTCGATTTGTTAGAAAGAGATCCCCTCTATGACATGCAGGCTCCATGCTGCCACCGAGCACCACTACAACTGCACTTTCACTTCCAGTTATTACCACCACCCCCTTCCAGGTCCTTAGTGCTGAGGAGACAATTATTCGGGACGCAGGACTTGATAACAGGGCTGCCGCTCGTTCATCCCCTGCGCATCGTCCAGAAAGTCTAGAGACGGCGTGGCGGGGTCGGCGGGCGGGACACTGGCAGAAGAGAGGGCAGGATGTGACCCACGGGGAACGGCGGGCGCCTCTTTTGCTGATTTCTTTCAGGAAGAAAGACCAGTGTCTTTTCTTTAACCACTCACTCACCTAAAAATATCAAACTCACCTATAACCTACAAGCCTCTTCTTCCAGGAGTCCCGCTTTTTGGGCCAGACTAACGCAGACTCCTTATGCGGATTGACAACTCGCACTCTCAAAACTAGAAAAAACGAACCCCTGTGTTTGAGCACCCCAAGAAACACTTGTCTCTCTCTCTGGGCCTCGGTTACTCAATTTCATGCTTAGAATAAACCACATTAATTATTATTTCTACAGAGCTTGGTTATTTCCGTTGACATAGACATTGTAGGTGGTGAAAGCAAATTACCAAGCTTGATCTAATTTTTGTAAACAGTCATAAATATGTATATTGTATTTATTTATTTATTTTCAAATATTTATGTAATTAATTCCATTTGATATCATAATTATTTTTCAATTTGACCAGAGAGAGATAGAGAGAGAGAAAGGGAAAATGAGAAAGCAAGCCACCAGGTCCAGGACTCAAACCGTGGCTGGCCATGTGGGAGTCCAGCCCCTTTAACCACTACACCCCTGCAGGCCCCTATATACTGTAAAAAGTAGTTCTCCCTGAGCAGTAGGATCAAGTACTTTAATTTTCTTCTTTGTGTTAGGTGTACTTTCTAATTTGTCTACATGAATGTGTATTAAATGCATATTTTCCCCCATACCTATCAACATAGCATTTATTACCTTTTTCCAATGACAAAACATGACTTTTGTCCATGGCGTATGCGCGGGTGTATGTGTTTAGACCAGGTCTCATTGCTGTGTCACAATCTTCCTGCCTTAGCCTCCTGAGGAGCTGGCACTATAGTTGGCTGTGGCCCCCAGCTTTTTAGGGTGGCCAGTGTAGTGAACCCAGAAAATTTGATTTTTAAAGCAGAATGCTGGAAACTTGAAGTATCATACTAGCCAAGGACAGGAAAGGATCAGTTTACTCCAGGGTGATTGTGGGCCTCTGTGTCTCCAAGTAGAGCAGCCCCTTCCTGGGCGGGCAACGGGCCCTGAGAGCACCTGGGGGTTCACAGCACAGCAGTGTCGGCTGCTGCCACGCCTGGGATACCCCACTACGAGGGCTGGACCTGACAGTGTGATTTAACGAGTACTCTTGTCTGTTAATTCATCATACAAATAAAACACGTTTCCTGTAGGAAACTTAGAAAAACACAGATAAGCCAAAGGAGGAAAAATTCTCATGAAATCCCACTATTTGGGTGGTCCTCGGAACTTTTCCTTCCTTCCTTTTCTTTCTTTTTTTCCTTAAGAGAGGTTTTAGGTCTTAGGGAGCGTGTGCTCGCCAGAAAAAGACAGAAAACAAGAAATCACTCCCTGGAAGAGAAGACCACGCCTCAATCCCTTCTCCATTCTCCTCTCGAGATCTTAGGCACACACACATGCCCAGTGTGAGTTTAAGCCACCCAGTCCAGGACCTGAACCACAGTTGACTACGTGGGAGTCCAGCAACATAACCATTATGCCATCTGCTGTCCTGCCAGACTTACTTTTAATTGCCAATGGGCACGTGCACTCTCCGGAGAGAGGGAGAGAGAGTGCGAGAGGGAAAGCAAGCACCCTCAAAGGGGCACGGCACATTGCAGTCCCCTTTCCCACACTTCCCCGTCCCATGAGGACCCTGGCCATGCATGCACACGTGTGCTGTGTGTTTTTCAAGCACCAGAGCTGGGCTCCAGCTGTGCTGGCATGTGGGGCCCCCTTGTTCTGCACAGTGCTTAAAGAGCTGTACTATAAAGCTAGTCCAAACTTTTTTTTTTTCTAACAGACTTATTTTGAAACAATTTTAGATTTGCTAAAAAACTACAAAGATAGCTTCCATACTCCATACCAAATTTCCTCTATTATTAACATTAATATTGATACGTTAACTATAAAGTCCATAACTTTAAAAAAATAATGATTTATTTAATTTTATTTATTATTACCATTATTATTTTAATTTGTTATATTATTTTTAATTTAATCAGACGGGAACAGAGAGAGAATGGGAAAGTGAGAAAGCAAGCTGCCAGGTCCGGGACTTGAACTGCAATTGGCTATGTGGGAGTCCAACTCCTTAACCACCACGCCACCTGCTGGCCCCTCAATATCCATTTTCTATTCCAGGATTCTATCTGGATACCACATTCCACATAGTTGTCATGTCTCCTTAGGGTCCTGTTAGCTATGACAATTCAAACTTCAATAAAACCTTAGAGAACATAACTTTTTAACAAAAATAGAATCCTACGTACATTCTATTTTGGAACCTTATTTTTTTTTTCCCACTTAACAATATATCCTGGGTATCCTATGTTGCTAAATTTACTCCTATTCTGAAGTTTATTTTAGTAGGTAATGCTATCTCCTTTAATACACTGCATGATGTGAGATTATTCTTAATTCAGATTCTACCACATTATCAGCTGAGTTTAAAATTAGAAACACACACACACACACACACACACACACACACTCACACAGGCTTGAGGATGCGTGGGCCATCCCTGGAAGCATATCAGGAAAGCAGATGCCGTCTCTGGTCTGGGGGCAGGGTGAGAGCGAGACTTCCTTTTCACTGTACTCCCTCCTTTACTCTTTGATTTCTCAATATTTGAGTTTTTAAGAATTAAGACAATTTTTTTCCCTTTATTCATCATAGAGCTTGTGCAATGGGCACGTGGGAGTGACAGACAGACAGAGCTAGTGAGAGAGAGAACCGCCCTCAGCAGAGTCTGGTCACACCACAGTCTCTTTCCTCTAGCCCCTCAGGTCTTGGGCACTCACATGGGTACCCCACATGTTGCAGGCTGACTGGGCAAAGGATTTGAACTTAAGTCATCACAGAATCCTGCTTCTCTTGAGTGGTGTTACTGCTGCGCCATGGAGTAGGCCCCTGAATCAAGAGACTTTTACAAGCCCATATGGCATTGCTGCCCCAGGGGCCCTCTTTCCTTTTGCGGAAGGATGGGCTCTCCCTGGGTTTCCCCTAGGTCTGTGGTCCCCAGAGGACACTCCATGACAGGGTTGAGGGGGTCTGAATCCAGGAACCGAGGTGGGTTCAGGAAGGCAGTGCTGGGCCTGGGGTATAGTGAGGGGAGTTTGTGGGGTAGAGGGCACACTGGCTGAGGGAGGGCCTAAGTCCCTGGAAGTTGCCAGTGACAAAGGAAAAGGGGACCGGTGGGGACTCTGGAGACCTGGGATTGTAGGCAATTCCCTCCTCCACTCTGGACAAGATGGGCTGGACTTAGCTAGAGGTCCCTGAAGCCCAGGCTCTCAGACTGCCTGGGAACAGGCTCGTCCTATGGTAGGCAGCCTGGGAATGGGTGAGACAGGAAGGCCAGACAGTAAGGCCAGTGGGGACAAGCACAGAACACTAGTAGGGGCCAGAGGTAGGCTGTGACCAGCCAGGGGCAACAGGTCAGAGCAGAGGCAGAGGACTTCGGAGGTCCAGGACTGCGGCATGTCCAGGCCCCACTGTGGGGGCGTCTCTCCTCTGTCTCACATGTGCACACACTTTCTGACAGAAGAAAAAAAGACAATAAAAATCCTCGAAGGGCATAATAATGCTCAGAGAGAGTCCAAATTTAACTCCCCACCCCCCAAAAAATAATAATAATAAGAAATCATTCCAGATCTGTTCTGTGTGTGCCTGGCTTGGCCCCAGGAAGGGCATGAGCTCCAGGACACAGGGGTGGCATTGACGGAGCCTCTCTCTCTCTCGCCCGCTCTCCCTCAGAGTCCACTTCCTCGCATCTGGAGCTCAGGGGTGTTCGCTAACCTCGCTTTGCTGGGTCAGAGCTTCCATCCACCCTTTCACGTCCTTTCCACCCAGCCCCTAAAGTGGGAGCTGTCACTTCCCATCACAGGACAAGACCTCTGAAGGGGAGAGGTGTGGTGCCCCGCCCTCAGTCTCCTGGACCTCGGGGCAGCATGACAACCACAGGGCTTGCCCTGCCATTTATGTTGTCCACACCAGTTCTCCAGTGACCTTGAGAGCTGTTGATAGAAAGAGGATATTCAGAGTATTTTTATGCCAGAGGATATGTGCGCGAGAGAGGGGAGGAGGAAGAAAAGGAGAAAGGGAGAAAGCTCCCTCGACAGCCTGTCCACACACTGTCCTTTTTCCTCCAATTCTGCATCCCATCAGGATCCCAGGTATGCAGAGGGGCCAGAATTCAAATCTGAGTCAGCTCTGTAGAACTGGCTTTCCTCTGCATGGCACCTACCTGTGGCACCACAGGGCTGGCCCTATTTTGTTGCTAATATTATTCTTCAACTTACCAATGTTTAAAAAAACTTTCTGCTATAGGGTGTGTGTGTTCACCAGAGACAGAGACATAGAGAAAGAGGGAAAGTGAGAAAGCACCCTCTGGGGAACTGGCCACCTGTAATCCCTTCTCTGTTCTCCTCTCAGGATTTTAGGCATGCATACATTAGTGCCCAGAATCTTTTTCTTTTTCTTTTTTTTTGTTAGAGATTTTTGCCTTAGGGAGCATGCACTTGCTGGTCAAAGACAGAGACAGAGACAATGAGGGGGAAAATGAGAAATCACCCCGGGGGGGGGGAGGATATACACACACACACACATGTGCCCAGAGTGATTTTTAAGCCTCCAGGTCTGGGACTCGAACCATGGTCAGCCATGTGGGAGTCTACTGACATAACCGCTATGCCACCTGCTGGCCTCCAGAGTGTTTTTCGAGCTGCCAGGTCTGAGACTGGAACTGGGCAGCTGGCCATGGGGGATCAAGCTGCCTTAACCTCCACGCCATCTGCTGGCCCACCAAGCTTACCAAATTAAATAGCATATCTGATAGGCTATTAATATTCACAATATGGAGAGAGTTTTAAACACTTACCAACAAAGAAACAAATAACTTAATTCAAAAGTAGACAAAAGACTTGAATAGCTATTTCTCCAAATAAGATATATAAAAGGCCAATAAATACATGAAAAGATGCTCAACGTCACTAATCATTAAGAAAATGCAAGTCGGGCCAGCAGAAAGTATGGTGGTTAAGGTGCTGGACTCCCACATGGTCAATTGTGGTTTGAGTCCCGGACCTGGTGGCTTAAAAATCACGTGGGGCATGTGTGTGTTCATGCCTGCCAAAAATCCCGAGAGGAGAATGGATGAGAAAGGATTGTGGCATAGCCATCCCCACTGGAGTGATTTCTCGCTTTCCCTCTCCCTGCCTCTGTCTCTCTGTCTCTGGTGAGCACATGTGCCCTATGACAAAAAAAAATCTTAAAAAAAAAAAAAACAAATCAAAATTACAATGAAAACCACTTCCTACCGATTAGAATAGCTATTATTCTGAAAACAAAATTACTTATGTTGGGAAGGACGTGGAGAAACTGAGACTCATGTATGCACCATAGGGGAAGGAAAACAGTACAACTGCTATAGGGAGCCGTGTGGTGGCTCCTCAAAAGTTACACACAGGATTACCCTGTGACCCAGCAACTCTGCCTCTGGGGATACACCCAAAATAATTGAAAGCAAGATCTTGAAAACTATTCGTACACTCATGTTCATGTAACATTATTCACAATAGCCAAGGGTAAAAGCAACCCAGTGTTCATCAAGGGATGAACTGTGCTATATTCATACAATGCAATATTATTAAGTCTTTTTTTTTTTTTTTTTTTAATTTAGAGAGAGAGAAAAAGAAAGTGAGAAAGCAAGTCACCAGGTCCGGGACTCGAACCGTGGTTGACCATATGGGAGTGTCTAGCGCCTTAACCACCACACCACCTACTGGTCCCAAGGGTTTGAGTTTCTTAAACTTCACTTCCTGTCTCTATGAATTTGACCACTCTAAGTACCTCATGTAAGTGGAATGTCCATCCTTTCTCTCAAGGACTGCTATATCACTGGACTGAATTATGCATTTCTTCATTTTTTATACATCCCAATGAACCACAACTGGATTTTGGGTCTTTCTAGCTTTGTCTGACTCTAAGCCAGTGTCATGAAAGAAGGTCATTCCTGTGACATACACCCCCCTTGGGCTGGTGTTTTCCAAACGTACCTTCAATCTTAGTCTTGAAGTGAGGGTATCTGTTGAGAATCTCCACCTGCTTCCTCCAGTCAAATTCGTTCCGCCAATAGGAGATGACTTTCTTCAGATAGTTGGAGTTGAAGCCATAGTGGAAGCGGCTGTCCTCCAAAGGTGGTGTTACACGGAACCTATCGATTCTCTGGTGTAAGTCCTAGGGTGATGTGCAGAATGCCAAGGAGGGAAGGATGGGTGGGGCAGAGCACAAGAGACAGTTTGATTTCAGAAGACAGAGCGAACCCTGCAGCCATGACACCACACTGTAATGGTGACAAAGCAGCTTCCCACACACTCGCTACTCCCAAAGCTTAGGGGGTCCTCACTGTAGAATGAGATTACTTCCCATCTTTCATTTGTTAAATGTATGATTTGTACTCATCTTCAATTCACCTAGGCTTTGCTTTTCTTCTTCTTCTTCATTTATTTTTATTTTTATTTTATTTTATTTTATTAGATTTTTGCTATAGGATATGTGGAGAAATAGAGAGATAGACAGAAAGTGAGAAACCTCCCTGCAGGGAGAGGGCCACATCACGATCCCTTCTCCTCCATTCTCCTCTAGGAATTTTGGGCATGCACACACACACTCCTGGCATGAGTTTTTTTAAGCCATCAAGTCCGGGATTCAAACTGTGGTCTACTACGTGGGAGTCCTGAGATGTAACCATTACGCCATCTACTGGTTCCTCACCTAGGTTTTTCTATAGCGGGGGGGTCAGCAAACTTTCGCTGTAAAGGTCCTGATAGTAAATATTTTAGGCTTTGAGAGCTGCAGCTATTCCACTCTGCCCTCTTACGGAGAAAGCAGCCACAGACAACACAAGATGAACGGGCAGGTCCATGTTCCAGTAAAACCTTACTTATGGTCACTGAAATTTGAATGCCTTATAATTCTCATATGCCATGAAATATTTTTTCTTCTCATTTTCCCCCCAACCATTCGAAGATATAAAGACTACTCTTAGCAGGAGGAATGTGCAAAAACAGGTGGCAGGCTGCACTTGGCCCTCAAGTTGTGACTTGCCGACCTCTAATAGACAGCATGGAATGACACATTATAACTCAGCTGGAATAAGAGTTGCAGACCAGGGGAGAGGGTGTGCATCAGGCGGAGAGGCCAGACCTATGTGGGCAACTGTGAGTTGGCTCATAGAGCTCTTAGCTGTCACAATTCCCAGGGCTTCCTCATACATGCTTCAGCCACCCTCTAACAAATCTGGAAACCTTAGGGTCCTTTAGGTACCTGAGAATCCACTGAGGGAGTTCTCCTCAGGGCTCAGCCTTTGTCCTAAATAGCGAGGCCATAGCAAGTTCTACCAAGGGGACCTCAGTCTGGTTTCTCTTGGCATAGCCCAGCCTCCACTTTTTAATATTTTTAAAGAATGATCCATTTTATTTTATTTATTATTATTATCATTTGTTAATTTGTTACAGGGCATGTGTGCTCACCAGAGAGAGAGAAAGAAGTGGGAGGGGGGTGAGAAAACAATCCATCAGGTCCAGGACTTGAACTGTAGTTGGCCATGTGGGAGTTCAGCACCTGAACCACCACACCACCTGCTGGCAGCAGCCCAGTCTCTACTTTTAAATCAGAACTCTCATGACTTTTTGTGGGTGCTTCCTATGGTATTTATTCCTATTAATCTTTGGTAGAGCTTTTTTGTCTTAGAGCACTTGTGCTTGCCGAGGAGAGAGAGACAGAGACAGCGAGTGGGAAAGTGAGAAATCACCCCCCAGGGGAAATGACCATGCCATAATCCCTTCTCCTCTATTCTCCTCCCAGGATCTTGGGCACACACGCACATGAGCCAGTGTGAGTTTTTAAGCCACCAGGACTCAAATATGATCAACCACGAGGGGGTTCAGCGAAGTAAGCACTACGCCATCTGCTGGCTCCAATATTTCAATCGACTTTTCTCACCTCATAGATGGAGTTAGGGAAGGAATGAACTCTCTTTTTCCAAGCATTCAGCAGAGTGCCTGCATCAAGTAAGGGCTTAACCATCCACAGAATGAAGGAAGTAATGGTCAGATGTCAAAAGGAGGAGACTTTGGGCCAGCAGGAGAGGTTAAGGCTGCTGACCCCACATGGCTGACTGCGTGGTTCAAGTCCTGGACCAGCAACTTGAAAAATAAACCAAATCCATGGGACCAGCAGTTAGCATAATGGCTATGTTGCTGGACTCCCATGTAGTCGACCGCAGTTCGAGTCCCAGACCCAGTGGCTTAAACTCACGTTGGGCATGTGTGCATGCGTGCCCAAGATCACAAGAGGAGATTGCAGAAGGAATTGCAGCATAGCCATCCCCCCGGGGGGTGATTTCCCACTTTCTGTCTCTCTGGTAATAAATAAAAAAGAAAAGAAAAGAAAAGAAAAAGAAACCAAATCCCAAGAGGAGAATGGAGAAGGGACTGCAGGGACAATTTCTCACTTTCCCTCTCTGTCTCTCTCTAGCAAATGCATACGCCCTATAGAAAAAAAAAAAGGGAGGGGACTTTGGAGAATGAATTAGGATTAAGGTCATCAGGGTCCTCTCGACAGACTCACAGTGGGTTTACAAGGAGGGGTACTGAGAGACACACAGATACATCTATTGTCATGACGCAACATGGCAACAGAAGATCAATACTTGTGAGGGTTTCTGGCCCTTGGACCTCCAAACCATGAGCAGAAAGCTCTATTTATAAATCACCCAGTTTCAGGTATTTCTGTTACTAGCAACAGAACAAATGAGAGGAGTCGCTTGGACAAATCGCTTTCCCCCGTGAGCTGCAGTCTCTGCATCTGTAAAATGAGAACGAGGGTCCACCCCCTGCAGGATTACCGCAGGGACCAATGCGCCTGTGAGCTGGAGCAGCAGGTGCCCCGCCAGCACTGGCCCAGCCTTCCCAGTGCTATGCTTCCTGCGTTGGCTTCTCCTGTCTTCTCACTCAGGATCTCCTGAGCCCCACTTGCTCCCACAAGCCCAGTCCCAAGATTTCAGACCAGGCACAAAGGAGGTGACCACAGTGGGTCTCAGTGATCTGGTGCACATAACTGAGTCCGGCAGCCCCTCCCCTGCCTGGGCACTGCTGGGCCGCAGGTAGGGGAAGGAGGAGACGGAATGGGACAGGGAGAGCTGAGCACACCCCTCTGGAGCAACCTGCACCCACTCCATGAGAAAAGAGAAAAAAACTACTTCTGGGGAGGCACTTCCCAGACCCCCATCTCCTCCCCATACCCTCTAAGACCCAGCTTGTCTCAGAGAAGCCACAGAAGGGTTTTCCCCACGCTGCCCTCTGCCCAGCCCTGCCTGGGAAGGGAGCCTTACATTGATCTCCTCGTCTGACGTTTCCACCTTGAAAGGACGGATGCTCTCGTCCTCCTTGGCTGTGGGCCTCGCCCCGGGCCCCCACCACCCATCTCCAAGTGGCAAAGTTTCCTCCTTGTTCCGGGAGATGAACCAGTAGATGACAAAGCCCAGCACTGAGGTGAGGAGAATTTCCAGCCACATGACTCCTGCAAGAAGAGGGAGAAGCATCAGCAATAGAAGCCTCCCAGCGGGGCCTTGACGCCTGCAGGTGGAGACTCCAATTCCCAATTCTCACCCACCTCCTGATTTTATTACATTGGTCCTTAAAAAAAGTATAGAAAAACTGGGAAACACTAGCAAAAGAAACAAAATCACATACAATCCTACTGAATTCTGAAAATTGTTAACCACACTGGGTAAATAGGAACCTGGGTTGGTTTCTGTGCAGCCCTGGGTGGGAGGTGCTGGAGGCCGCATGTCCAAGGCCTCATGTTTTTGAGGGGCCTTCTGTTCTAGACCCTATAGAGAAGGCTTCTCTCCACACCCTCCTGACTCTGTCCCCAAGAGAGGAAGAGCAACTTTTCTGAGTAGAGGGTCCAGGACATGGAACTGTGACTCTGAGGGGCCTGTCCCAAGGTAAGAGAGAAGTCTGGAGTTCTGTGAGATTAAGTTCAATTTGGAGAGACTGGGTGGCATTAGTAAGGCCCACAAACATCTTAGCCGAGAGGGTGTTTGGCAGCTTTATTGCAATATGATTCAGACACCATCTAATTCACCCATCTAAAGTGTACAATTCAGTGGTTTTCAGGACTGTGGAAGGCCGCATATTAGACCTTGCACATGAGCGACTGTTCATCCATTTTGTTCCCTTACCCTAACGTGGCTGTCTGCTTCTGTAAACCTGCTGGCTCTTCCCATGAGAAAATAGCTTGTGCTAGCCATACAGAAAACCACATCCGGGGCGACATCCTGTACCTGTTACTGTCTTTGCTAACTAGCCCCAAACCCTTTTGTTTAACAATGTAACTGCTTGCATGGAAACCCCACTCCCCTTAGAAATAATTAACCTGCTTGATTCAGCTTCTGTCATTTCTTGCATGGAAACCCCTAGTAACTGACCCCTATAAAGAGACTGCTCAAACTTCGGTCGGGGCTGCAGTTCTGACTCTTGGCCCCTGAGCCTCAGGCTGTAGTTGCTGGCCAGCTAATGAAGACTCCCTTTAACCTAAATCTGGCTTTGGTGGTATTCATTCAGTTGCACTCTACAACAGTATATTCACAGGTGTGTGCGACCATAACCACAACTGATCTTAAAACATCTTCATCACCGCGGAGACACCCCAGACCCTCTAGCTATCAGACCTCTATTGCTCCACCACCTGAGTCTCAAGAAACCACGAATCTGCTTTCCATCTTGATAGATTTGCCTATTTCACTCCACATAAACTCAACTGCATTTTAATCCCCCTTTGTCTGACTCAGGTGTCTCTTTTCTCAGAAGGAGAAGAAAGAGGGGCTTAGTCTTGGCAAAATAAAGTCAGGAAGCTACCAGCCCAGCTTTGTTATCCAGCTCCTCCTCTTCCATATTCTCAGGGAAGTAACCCACACAATGTTCCTGGTCAGAAGACTGCACGAATACGAGCACTGTTCTTACGGTGGCCAGAGCCAGAAGAGGTTCTGCTTCAGGCAGGGCAGCCAGGACCCAGGAGGAGAGAGCATTGCATCTAAGGTGGGGCCTGAACAGACCCTAGTTCACCTTTGACTCCCCCTTGAAGCCTAAGGCCGAAGGAGATCCCTGTTGGGACACTCAGCACGTGCGTGTCCTTCATTCGCTAAACATTAGATGTCTGGGACTCTAAGGCCTTGAGCTCTGCTCTCATCAAGCCCTTCCCTTCTAAGCCACGAATTAGGCAACTGAAGGTCATTCTGGAAATACCCATGCATAGTGGTCCAGAAATGGAGCTTCCCCATGGAGATCCGGGCCGGGTGTGGGCAGTGCCCCTTCCTGCAGCTTGGAAAATCCGACCACAGTGACTGCGTGGTTCCCAGGCTCAGTCCCTGCAGTCACCTCGGACTCTTCCTTCATACTCCTCTATCACCAGGTCTTGGTGCCATTCAGATTCGGCCCCCTCCATGCCCAGCCTTCTCCCTGGACCAGAGCCCTTGTCGCCCCACATTTAGATCACCAAGACAGAGTTCCAGAGAGGGACTACTCTAGCCCATCTCCCAAGGTCACCAGGGCACTTCCTAAACCCACTGCAGCCTTCTTCCTGGGCACCCAAACCAGAGGGCCCAGTCTTGAACTTCTGTCACTTCCCTCCCCGGGCTGTGAAAGTCAGAAGTTCCTCAAGGTCTCTTTGACTCAACATTTGCTGAACGTCTATGCTGTGCCAGGCCTCTGCCACCCCAGCCAGAGAGAAAGCATGGGATGGGTTGGTGCACGTTCCATCCCCAGCCAAGACAGGCCACGACTTTCATCTTTTGAGCCCAAGCACCAACAGTGCCTGGCCCTGTGTACTTGCCGGCCTATCAGATGCATGGCTGGAACCAGCACTCCCACAACTAAAACAAGGCGAGCCAGAGCTGGAGAGGAGCCTCTCTTATTTAAAGGAATTTGGAAAAGAAAACTTGCATAGACTTCTCCCATTTCCAGAAACCCTCTGTCGCTGCCAGCAAATCCTACCCTTGGAAATGGGAGATGTCGGCTACTGGCCTGTCGTGGTATTGGAGGCAGGACTAGGCTTAGGCACGGCGGGGCACATGGGAGGAGGTGGAAGGCAGAGAGTAGAGCTGCCCCAGCGGCGGGGGGAGGGATCAGCCTCCCCAGTGAACTCGACAAACTGTCCTTACCTGGCTGGCTTCAGCACAGAGAGGCCGAGGGGAATGGTGTCGCTTCCCTCTGGGATATAAATGTCCAATTTCCCCTTTCTGGGCCAGAATGATCCCAATGCTTTCCCCTAGCCACAGGGACTCTGTGTCCCAACCCTCTGGGAAGCTGCAAAGTAGTTAAGGAGGTCTGCACCCAGGCCATCCTTTGGGCGTGGAAAATTTAGGGCGGGCTGCAGGCTCTGCCTCATCTTCCCGCCCCTTTTTACAACCGCGCAGTCCTGCTGACTCAGCAGATCTGAAGTGTGCGCAGCCTGGTTATCTTCTTTGGACTTCAAACAGCAAACTGAACCACACTGACCCCAGCGAGGCCGGTAGAAAATATCAGAGTCCCATCTAAACAAAGGGAATCCGGACAAGGGACATTCTGACAGCCCACGCCAGCACCACTTGAAGCATGGAGGTAAAGACCAGGTAAAGGTAGGAAAGAGAAGTTAAAAATCTCAATCTCCCGCATCCTAATTAAGGTAACAAGAATATCAGTGCTTGGCTCAAGGCTGGTGCCTTAGAACACTGACCTCAGATTACAAAGCAGGCTTTACTGCAGTGTCGCTTTGTCACCTAGTAACAGACCTTTATTTAATAGCAGGTATGTATATATATTTTCTTTTTTTGGAGAGATTTTTGCTATAGGGTGTGTGCACTCGCCAGAAAGACAGAGACAGACAGAAAGCGAGAAATCACCCCCCAAGGGGGGATGGCCACACTGCAATCCCTTCTTCTCCATTCTCCTCTTGGGATCTTGGGCACGCACGCACACGCGCCCGGCGTGAGTTTAAGCCACCGGGTTCTAGATGTCTGGGACTCTAAGGCCTTGAGCTCTGCTCTCATCAAGCCCTTCCCTTCTAAGCCACGAATTAGGCAACTGAAGGTCATTCTGGAAATACCCATGCATAGTGGTCCAGAAATGGAGCTTCCCCATGGAGATCCGGGCCGGGTGTGGGCAGTGCCCCTTCCTGCAGCTTGGAAAATCCGACCACAGTGACTGCGTGGTTCCCAGGCTCAGTCCCTGCAGTCACCTCGGACTCTTCCTTCATACTCCTCTATCACCAGGTCTTGGTGCCATTCAGATTCGGCCCCCTCCATGCCCAGCCTTCTCCCTGGACCAGAGCCCTTGTCGCCCCACATTTAGATCACCAAGACAGAGTTCCAGAGAGGGACTACTCTAGCCCATCTCCCAAGGTCACCAGGGCACTTCCTAAACCCACTGCAGCCTTCTTCCTGGGCACCCAAACCAGAGGGCCCAGTCTTGAACTTCTGTCACTTCCCTCCCCGGGCTGTGAAAGTCAGAAGTTCCTCAAGGTCTCTTTGACTCAACATTTGCTGAACGTCTATGCTGTGCCAGGCCTCTGCCACCCCAGACAGAGAGAAAGCATGGGATGGGTTGGTGCACGTTCCATCCCCAGCCAAGCCCGGCAACGACTTTCCTCTTTTGAGCCCAAGCACCAACAGTGCCTGGCCCTGTGTACTTGCCGGCCTATCAGATGCATGGCTGGGACCCGCAC